GAGCGTGTTTGAAGATACGTAGGATAGGAGCCGGTGAAGTGCATTATTGCCCTAAATAAGCGAGCGTAACAAGCTCTCGAAATCCATCCATCATCCCTGACGTACCGCCGACCCGCGCCCGACCACTCGCCAGATCTGAAATCACGGGGGAAAAAAAACTACAATCATTCACGACTTCGTGCACTGAAAGCTCAAGAGGCTGCACCCGCGATGGGACTCACCTTTCGCGCGGCTAGGCAAAACCTCCCCCCCCCCTCCCATAATCACCGTCTTACCGCATTTTCCGCGGGCCGTTGGCAATTATTGGGGAGAATTTCCTGCCTACTACTTATTTTAGTACTGACAATGTGTTTCTGTACGTTTGAGAAACGGAATTAGTGGCGCGACATTGTGAACCTTGTAAAGTTACAAATTTTCATGTTGCAGCAACACGACAACAACAACCAGCTGCAACAACAAGTAGTCAATGAGATTATCAATTTCCCATGCTATTTTCCCCTTTACTTACAGCCATTTTCAGTGTTGAGCGTGTTCCTGAAATAGAGTCTACTTGGATCTGTAAAAATTTGATCGCCACAGTTCGCCTACCAACGTGACATTAGCGGTGAAAAAAAAAGGGTTAAGCGGTACGGTCATAGTTGCGGTAAAAAACAAAATCGAGGTTTGTCTGAAATGGCGTTTGGCAACCCTACGTTTGCTTAATGACCCCCTTGGCAAACCTGGCATAAGTCTTAAAAAATTCGGCAAACCTTTTCCTTGAACATGCCCCCATGCTAAAAGTGTGCGAAACTGAAACCACTTGAAGAGTGCAAAAGAGTTGATTTCATCACAACTGTGCAAGAGTGCAATTTAGCAAAACTATGCGCAACTGTAGCGCAGCCCTCTCCACTTATTTCCGGGATTTCCTGAGAGGCATCGTAAAGTAAGCCGCCCAGAAGTTTACGCGTTGCGTCCGCGAAGACGTTTTTACAACGAACATGACTACGCTTTTCGGTGGCGGCGTGGATCTCGGCCATTTCTCATGCTCCCACATTCGAACGGGATACAGATTTAAATTACTTAGACCAACCGTCCCAAGTTGTTGCCTCTTCGGATAGCGTTCGCATGAAAAAATCTATTACATCCACTCCGCTCACACTACGTTGCAATGAGCATCAGACCAAGTCACGCTGCTAGGGCAACTTCCGAGATCTTTCGGTGCAGAGAGCATGTGTGACGAGGCTTGCGATCTCCAGTTTATGATGCAAATAGGGTGATCACCGCATGACTCGCGTTCCGATCTCTATGACAGAAACATTATGACAAAGCCTATGATCCTCGTTCGACATTGGGCGTCGGTGGTCATGTACTAACGAAAGAACTAAACTGCGATTCTTGGTAAATTGGTCATTTTCGGTGATTCGATATGATCGGAGGGAAACAAGCTTACTTTGAATGGTAGTTGTAATCCTCACCGGCATTTCACTTCTATCGATGTCACCATGTCCTAGAATCCTCGAAGTAAAACTTATAATTAATTGGAGGTAATTCGGCTGATAAGATTATGGACTTAACAGTAGGAATAATATGGATATTTTAAGTTTATAAAGAAAATAACAAAAAAAGAGAGAGAAAAATCGATTTGTTACGCTGAACCAGCATGCGCCGACAGCTGGTAAGTGTATCCCGTATGGTGACTTTTGGACGCCAGTAAATCACATTTGTGGACCGAAAAAATTGAATGCCATTATTTTATTACACTCTGAATCAAATAAAAGGAGAGTTAATTAAAATATGGGTAAACAAGGCTAAAAAATTATTAAAACACTAAATGGCAGGACGTTTCGAGCTGTTACCAGCTCATTTTCAGCTGCAAAAACACATTAAAACAAGTCAAAAATTGAGTGGCGACCTGACCCGAGCCGTTATCACGTAACCACTGGAATTCAGTACCGAACATCCGAGGCAGACATGTGCAGACCTGGGCATTAGGCAGACTAGTGCAGCTGAAAATGAGCTGGTAACAGCTCGAAACGTCCTGCCTTTTAGTGTTTTAATCATTTTTTAGCCTTGTTTACCCATATTTTAATTAAATCTCCTTTAATTCGTATATTCCGGCTATGTTTTTTGTGCTTTATCGTCTCTGAATCAAATAGAGATTGTAATAATGGACGGGGGTGAATTTGACGACGCTATTCAATTAATAAACTGCCAAAGAACGATGCGTTGCAATATATTTTTTATGGGAAAGTTCGTGATTGGTCGAGGGTAGTTTGATAACATCTGAATGCTCATATATACTTGTTTTCCTGTAAGCACGACGCGACGGTACGGAGAATGTGCTCCGCGACACCCACCAGAAAGGTATTCCAGCAGCACAGCACTAGGGAGAGAATCTACTATTCCTTTCCGGAAATCCTTCTTGTTTTTTCCGTCGTGGCAGCAGGCCGCGAAAAGACGCCTGGCCTTCCGCAACCGCGAGAAGGTTCGTTGTTTCATTTAAGATTTCGGAATTGGGCCTTGAGAAAAAAATACGGTTTCGATGTTTCAAAATGTCTGTCCTATTTCATTAGTAGATATGACCCGTTCGTTAATGAGTAACGTGGAGAGCTCGTAATTAGATTATAAGCTCCTAGAGATCAATTCTATGTACATGAAAGGACGAACTCATGGTTTAGTGCTCATACCCCAGGCGTCCACCGCGTACGAATACCCTTTCGGAAATTCTGTTGTTTACTGTTTTCCGAATAGCTTCGGCCGTTATAAACAAATGAGCATGGGTCTCTAACGTAAAACTAAAAAGCACTTTCTAGGGGTAGGTTTGAAGTCCGCTAAGAACCACTGAGGGGTTTGATATCGCTACGTCAACCCCTGACGGCACACGACAAGCCTCATCGACGAGAGATGTTTTTTTTGGTTATCCTACTTGCCGCGGATATGAAAAAAGGATTAATTATGGGTCTCTGAGAACACCGTAAGGATTTTGCAGGCCTGTTTAGAGAATTCACATAATTTACTATCCGTATACTCCAACTACTATTTCAAGGTACTATTCAACTATTTCAAGGTATAGTAAGAAAGATATTAGCATTATCATGAGATATTACAAATCAATTGTACTCATGAGATATTGCAGTGATATTGCTATTGCAGATATTGCAGTGATAGACTGTGATATATCTGTGATATTGCAGTGTTAGACTTAAACAGAAAAGACAAATTGATGGTAAATAATGTATCGGACAAGACCACGCTAGTGATTACCCACACTGGAAAAAAAACACATTGGATCTGGAGTCCAGACTCTTGAAAACATTGACAAGAAAAAGGACTCTTGATTCAATCAGATTTAAGCTTTAATCAAAAGGAAATCCGCTCAAATTAAGAGGCTTGGTTCTTGATTTAAGCTTAAATCTGATTGAATCAAGAGTCCTTTTTCTTGTCAATGTTTTTTTAGAGTCTGGACTCTAGATCCAATGTGTTTTTTTTTTTTTCCAGTGCAGTTGAATGCTTTTAAACTACTTCAGAAGCTAGATTTCCAAAACCTTAGGTTGGCTCAACCAGTGCTCCCACCCCCCCCCCCCCCTCATTTTTCGTTATTTACCGATTAAATCAGTTGTATAAGTAACGATTTTACGATATTTCTTTCCGTTATAGAATTTAGAAAGCCAGAAACTTGGATACCTCAGCATCGTAGTATTTCTAATAATATTTCATTTTTTATAGAAAAATTGTTGCATGGAACAATTTGCAATGTTCACTGACTTTTCATGTCATCATTTGTGGTGCATGAGGTCAATAATTTGGCTGAATAAAGTACTAGAATCGAAAAATTAATGTTAGATGGCTATGGTGTTCGATTTTTTAATGTTTTATCAAAATTGTAAATTTGACATGATATTTTCGATCTCCGTTCATGAGGGAGGGATTTTTCATGTAATTTTTCGAATCAGTTTATAAAGGAGGGCGGTGCTGCATATGTACCGTCCATCCGAAATTTTTCGTGTAACTTCTGAAGTTGTCATTGCATTCGTGCGGCCGAATGTGTGAGACGGCATGCTGGCGCATTCTCAGACAAATGTTATCTTGTGATAAATCACCACAGCTTAAATCTCTTCAGCAATATTGAAAACGTACCTGAACCAAGTGCATTGTGGTATCCCTTTTATTCACAAAACCAAGCACTGAAGTCTCACAGAACTTAAAATCACTTGGGTATAAAAATACAAAATAAATTTAAAAAATAAATAAAAAAGTAAAAAAAAAAAGAATAGAAATTACTGCAAAAAACGATCCAAAATTTTATCTTGGGAGAGGCCCTTCGGTAAATGGGCAAAAGGTGAACTTGACGGAAACCGAGCTCGGGACACGGCGAATTTTTTCAAGCTCGTTCGCACGAGGAGCAAAATTTCACAGTTTGGAGCCCGACACGAATTTTCATTTTGACGATTTTCGAGTCACAACCGTAGCGGGTCATACACGGACGAACGCACACGCGGCGAGAAGTCTCGCACGGCCAGCACAACCGCACAGAGGCCGTGAAAGCGACAAGAACGAGGGCGACCTCAAAAGATGAAAGATTGGCCAGATGAAGGGATGGAGTTATCCGGGGAGGCGATGTGAGAACTGCCGCTGACCAGGGCACATGAAAGGGATAATGTAAGAGGGTCCGCGGACACGGCGACGCGCTCACCGCAGGGACTGGACCGCCAACTGCAGCCGACTGGATCACACCGCGTTGCGCCGCTCGCTTTCAGCCGCGCCCGGCAGAGGACGCTCCATGACGGTGTGCTCACCCTTACCCGAGACACCGCGCAACAGCAGCTCTCCTGTCTTACGGCAGAGGGCACCACTGCAGCTATGAGAGGAGTAAGTGCCAATTTTACGGAATGGAGTTTCCTCCAAATTCGTCTTATCTCTTTTAGATGAAATCGCTGGAAAAGCTAAAAATTTGTAAGACGATTTTCCTGTATTTTTAATACATTTTTTACTTCTTTCATGCGCTGCTTATGCTCCGTGGGCACAATACGTAGGCACGAATATTTGTATTTAAAGGCTGTGGTTGGAGTTCGCGATAACCTCATATTCTAGGCATTTTTCTTTTCTCATTACAGGACATGTGAAGAGAGTTTAGGAGAATTTACGCGATACCTTCCGACGAAAACTTCTTCCCATCAAGAGGACCAAGAGTGGTGATGCACGAAAAGCTAAAGACAATTGGCCTTGTTTTGGCGCAATGGAGTTCCTCCGAGATGTAATCGTTCCTAAACGGAGTTCAGGAAATGTTCCTACTGAGGTTGGAAAACATAAAATTGGAGCTCCCGACTAATAGGTTCAGTGAAAAACAACTCGAAAAAGAAGACGATGCGGATACTCAGTTTGCATAAACCAATGCAAGAACTTTCATCCTTGGAGAGGATGAAATTTAAAACTGACGTCATGCATTTATTGCGCTGGTTACGTAAAATCAGAAGATTTAATTGGAAATACAAAAAAGGCCAAAAAATTGCAAGAAATTGATAAAGGAATGTTTTAGTTCCATTTGGTTATGTTCTTGTAGGAACGTTCTCCTATTCTTCAGGTTATTTCGGACTTTCACCTCAAGCCTTTGCCAGTCTTGTCACGATTAAGGGGGTTGTTCGCCATGGTTATAGCGAGTTTAGATTGAGAGAGATTGAGTAATTGTTCGAGATGACTGTTTGTCGTGGTCCTTGTGGTTGCTGTGTACTTTAATGTACTTAATTGTACTTTAATTCTTGTTGTTGTTGAAATTTGCGAATACATACTGGGAATTCATTGTAAGTGAACTGTATTATTTCTTTTTATTCATCATTGATTGATTCTTTGCTGCTTTGGGTTGATGCTAAAGATAACCTCATATTTGTAGAATAAAACATGGAGAAACAGGGGTCCACTTCGCTTGAAAGTTTTCCGACTCCATTCACAACGATTATCAGGTTGTCATCACGTCAACAATAGGAGGGTAGCTTATCTAAGCTAATGGAAACCATCAAGAACTGAATCCTAGGAAGGTTTATTATTTGAAATTAAATCCGCTGGTGATCTTGAAAATGCCATATCAAAGCGAATGGAAAAAATGACAAAATTAGGTCTATAGTTTCAACCAGTGAGTACCATCATCAACTCTAAAGAATTAATTTCGCATGTTGTTGTTAAGACACTTCGTTATACTGTGCCAAGACCAATGGAAGCGTTTGACGTATACTTAAAATTGTTCTTTGTTTTTGGAGTACAATACCCGGTTGAAAGTATCAATGCTTTTACATTTATCCAAAAGTACGCCTACCAAATTCCGGTGAAAGAAGCAGACGTTTCCACTTCAGTTAAAACACTAGCAGTAAAATTGAAATAATAAGTGCTAATGTTGATTTTTAAAAATTATTTTTACTTTTGACTGATCTCGATCATTGGTTTCTCTATCAGTATGGATTTTATAACATGGAAGCTGCACTTCTTAGTGAGGGCGTCAAAATTCCGAGGCAGCGAGTCAGGATTATACTCCGCGCAATAGACCTTGAAGGAACTGAGCTCAGGCATCCGAAGTTGAAGAAACAAAAAAGGGGGATTTATTCGGTGCCGGGGACCGTGTTTGTGTTGTAAGTAATATTCTTTGGTTCTTAATTTTCTTTTAATTCTTCATTTCACCAGAAGACTTAGATGGTGACTTGCTGATTAGTCATTGTCAAAACTCCTTTCTGCGTAAGGCCAAAATCCAATATAATTAGTAGCGACACAGTTAAAAGTTGTACAAATCACCGTTGTACAAAGGTAGATGATTCATTGAACCAAGAGGAAGTTACATATCTCTGACCAGTGACGTTTTTCTGCCGAAAAAGAAGGCCAAGAAAGTTAAATCAGCGAAAAGTGAGATAATTTCTGTAGAAAATTTAATTTCAGTGAAGCGTGCCTGTGTTCAGTCCTTTAGAATTGATGCCAGAAATTACACAAAAGATCGTCTAATTTTCATCATTGCCAATCAATGTGAACCAGTTTCACCAGTATTGTTCAATGCTGTGCAATCGCCGAACACATCCATCCTTTCACGAGCATACGCTAATTTTATGCGAGAAAAGGGACTCGGCTTTGGGGTCACTAAGGAGCTATTTTTCCTTGCGCTATAAGAATTAAGACAGTCCGATCTCTTGGAATAGCCTCTGAATCGCTTTTGCAGCAGCACGCAGAGCCGTTGAATGATTGTTGCGTTTGACATCATCATTAATATAAACTTCGAAGGATTCTGCCTTTTTCTATTTCACTCGAGGGGAAGTGTCCCCTCCCGGACTCTCTTCCCCACCCGGTGACTGACGCTGCGCTGTGCTGAACGGTTCAGCCTGAACCTTTCCCCTACGTCTGACCGTTCCCCACTCCTCTGTCAATCGAACCATATGCCACCGCTTACGTATTGTCGCTCGCCCACCCAGGTACCTACCGGCCAGCGGTCAGTTGATGATAAATCTCGCTCATGCTCCTACGCAGCTACGCATTGATTACCTACGCCAGCGAATTACTTTCCAAATAATTAGAATTTCTTCGATAATAGTTTTCTTTATTTATTCGACGGTATTTTTTCTCTGTTCTACTGTGATTTCCTTGGTTCTCTACTGTGTTTGACTGTGTTGAAATTTATATTAATACTCACACGGAGAAAAAACTTCGTGCATGGGACCCGACGTTGAGATCATATGAATCTCTTAAAACTTGAGGTCCAGCTGCCGAAATTCGGGTCAGAAATCTGAAACACTTCGGTATGCACCGAGTACTTCAGATGTGTGACCTGAAACCTTCGGTATATACCGAACTACTTCAATTGTCTGACCCGAACTTCGGCAGATGGACCTTAACTTTTCGGATGCGTGATCCGAAAACTTCAGAGATCCATATGATCTCAGCTTCGGGTTCCATGCACAAAATTTTTTTCTCCGTGTTTCCTTTTAGGGGACGCAACTAAAATTTCAGTAAATTTTTTCAGAAAAGTAAAAAAAGTGGCTAACAATGGTTCCTCACCTTCTCGTGGTGTTGGCTGTTTTACTAAGTGGGAACCGTCCTTAAGATATAGTCTATTTCTTGCCCTGCCATTATTATTCTACAAGTTAATTGTGGAGTGAGAATTTCATAATGTTTTCTATGAAATCTTCAAAAGATAGTGATTAAAAATTTGCAACTACTATAAAATCCGAATGCCGAATGTCACTCGCGTAGCGAGTGACCGGGGGTCCAGGGGGCGTAGCCCCCGGCTAGGCGTGACGGGCGCGCGAAGCGCGCCCAGAACGGCTAGTAATCACTACACATCAAACAGAGGAATTTATGGGCATCAAGATCATCAGGAAAGGGGAGAAAGTTAGGCAAAGTTTAATGTCTCATTGTGATTGCGGCGTTGAATATCCAAGCTCATGTTTTGGTCTCAACCGGGCTTGCAAGGTTTCACGCTCACACAAGATATACAACAAACTCCCTAGATATATTAAAGAAATTGAAGAGAGAAGCACCTTCAAAAGAAGAGTAGATAAATTTTGTAAGGAGAATGTATTCTATAGTATTGATGAATATTTAGAGTAAATTATGTATATTAGATTTATAACAAGTTTTACTTTGACTTTGTAATCTTTTGTTTTAAATCAAAAGAAACAATAAATTATTATTATTATAACACGAGTAGACTACAACAAGGTCAGGATAGGGTTCAGTGACAATGGGACCACCCATAAGTCTGACATGGCTCTTGCAGCAGTGCGACTACAAATGAACATAGTCGAATCAACTCATACATTATCTGAGTACTTTGCACATTTTCAGAATGAGCCAGGGTATGTTCCCTCAGTATGCTACGGCCCAGGCTGCTGCTGCAGCAGGGGTTAATGCAAATGGACCAATCACACCTGATACACTCACATTCATTGCTCAGAAGCCAACAGGACTCATGGAGCATGTTATATGCAGACAGAGTGGTACGTTCAAGGTATGCCTTGTTCAGAATTTCTGGACCTTCATTCAGGGGCTCAATTTGACTTCGAACCCCTTGAAGCCCGATTTTCTGGAATATGTCAAGACCACGCTGAGGACAAGAAAAGTGATCCATGCTGCTGTTTTTGTTTCGTGTTATTTTGTTATTCGTTCTTTTGTTATTTTTGTTTCTTTTGTGGCAAAGTTCTATATGAAATTGGACCCGAAAGCAGGAAGGGCATCTACTGTGGTTTTTTTTTTTTTCATTTTAAAGAGATTCACTATTAAATGCTCACATTGTTATGCCTCCTCATCAATGGACACGAAAGCCGAGGTTGCGTGAATTCTGATTGTGGAGGTTCTCGTGCCTTTTGAAAAGCCACCTTACGACAGGAAAATCCCCGGAGTTTTTGAAAATAAGGAGAAAACTACCCTTAGTTAGTGTCCAGAGGACTGCAGCGATGTCCACTTGATTTGCCGGTTTTGGTTGTAAGTCACGTAAACGCATCCGAATTAGTATCATTATTATCGTCATTTCGTCTTACGGCTGAAGGTTCGACAAAATTTTCCGAAAAAGTATATTTTGTTGATCATTATATATGGTTTTTTATGGTATATTCTTTTGATGCGTTTTACTATCGTTTTTAATTTAATTAGGTGTCAACGCCGAAAATGATTAAGGTGATTCCAACGCTCTTTCTTGATGATACTGGTGATGCGGATTGTATAGCCTGCCACGTGACGAAATTGTCGCGAGCGTTCTCACGACAAGCGGATATGCTCTCGTGCACCACGGTTCGGGAGAACACCTGACTTTCGTCCTATTGTGTTTATCTTATTAAATTGTATCCAAAATGAATCTCTACTGGGATAAACG